GTGAGGCTAGTAGGTTGTAGGAGCACGTGCGTGTGTCTGTGGTGTGGGGATATGTGCTGTGTGCCATGCTGTGTGCGTGAGTACACACACTTGCTCCGTTGTTGCGGGCCAGCTGAACTTTCCAACTCTTCCCACGTCTTACCTCTGGTTTTCACCGGGACCGGGCGATGAAGACGTCGGAAGAATGCCCTAGTTTCCATACCCGAATCTGGGAACGTCTGAAAATCCAGGCCGAGCTGCCTTCGTTCTGGGCACGGCGAATTCGTTGCAGCCGGGTTGGCCCCAGGGCCTCCAGCCAGCTCGCCGCGCCCCCACTGGAGCGCCTGGCTCGCCATCCTGCGGTCTGTCCGCCCAGCTCCGGGTGCGGATACCTCCCTCGGATTCTCTGGGTCCCAGCCGGGGACACCGCGCGGGGAACTCCGCTCCCTAAGCCACCGAGCCTGGCGCCTATGCGCTCCCCACCCCTGGCCATTCCCCGCTCCCGCGTTGGGCCAAGTTTGGCGTCGCGTGGCTGCTGAGCCGCGCAGGGCGCCTCCAACGCACCCTCAAAACCGCTCCTTATTTGTTAACCGTTTTCTTGTTTTTGAAAGGAGGGTCCGCGTCCAAGAGTTGTTCGTAGTTTTGTTTTTAACGTGTTCGGTGACTTCATGTACGTGTGTACTTAATACATCCCAGTCAATATCAAAGAGAAGATTTTTCCTGGAGCGGAGGCTCCAGGAAATTTGAAAGTAAAGCACAGAGGACTCCAGTAGAGCGTCGCTGGGGGCGGAGCGGGAGACCCCAGTGGGGAGCCAATTTGCCCAGCGGAGACCTGCTCAAGCTGGCGCTGACCCCAAGACCTCTCCCCTCCCCACCCCCCGGAGCTTCTCGAGGTCATTTGTAAAATGAGGCGGGAACTCCAGTCGCAGCGAGAGCTCCCGGGGGAGCGTGGAGGTGAGCGCACGTGGGAGCGCGCGGCCGAGCTTGCAGTGACCCCAGTAACCAGCCCGCCGCCTGCCTTGCACCGGCGATTAAATGCTTCATCGGAAAGAGGGAGAGAAGCGCAATAATTCCAAATTTCAGGAAAAGTCAAATCGGAGAGGGGGACGCAGGCCTCTACAGACTGCCCCTTCTCCGGACCTCGCTGAACGCGGGGCGTCTATCCGCAGCGCACCGACCAGAACGGAGGGAGGCTCAGGAAATGATTCGGTTCCTTTCGTCCCCACTTCCACCCACCCATCCCCCATGCGAAACGGAATTATTCACAAAATTTCCCCAAACCGAGTTACTACCACAGGCCCCGCCAAATCGAATTTAAAATTCACTGAGAACAGACAAAACTAAACTAAAAGTTCGTTTGGACTGTTGGTGGAGTGGAGGAAAAAGGGCACGGATAATCCCGGACGGGCCGCCCAGTACCCAGGACGGGGGGCGCGTCGAATCGCTGTTCCCCTGGGCACATCTATGCAGGTGCGGCTCTGAGAGCGGCTCGGGTCACAGACCTCAGCACCCAGCTCCGGAGCAGACGCAGACCTTTGCTCAGGAGGGTGCGGTCCGCACCGGACCTAGCCCTGCCACTGTGCGGGGAGCGCGGCGCACCCACCACGGGTTTTGAAGTGCGGGCGATGAGCCGCCAGGGACGGGTGCTCGTTCGGAGGGAGTTCCTGTCACAGGGCGCGGGGGGGACCGAAACTTGAGGTGACCTCAAGTAAGGAATACATCCCACCGCAGCGGGTGCTTCAGCGGCGCGAGCAATCGTTACCGGCGTTTGCCCGGCTACTCGGCTACTCGCTTGAAGCCGACAAAGTACCCCGCACCGCGCGGATCAGGTCCAATCGCCGCGCCTCGGCCAACTCCCGAGACCCTCGCGGCACGGTGTCCCCACTCCAGACTCTATGGCCTGCCCCATGGCGTCGCCACGGTGCTGGGGTTCTCCCAATGGGCCCCAAAGAGTTGGAAGAGCCACTTCTGGCTTTGTGGCTCAGAGGAGCTGAGGTATAGAGTTCTTTCCTTCCTTCCTCCCTCCGCCCTTCCCCCCTCTTTTTGGTTTTATTGTTTTTGAATTTTGATTTTTGCAATTCATCATAAAGCAAATGACAACACCTTGGAGTTCTTAGTCCAGCTCCCTCCCTTTATCCCCTTCTGGATAAACTAGTCTCAGAGACAGGAAATGGCTGACCCAGAATATCACAGCCAGCAGCGTAGCCGCTGAGCTGGATGGGAACCCAGCCTCGGGCCTCTCAAGCCAGGCCTCCCTCCCTCCCCACCAAACAGGATTACTGCCTTCCCGTCCCCATCCCCATCACTCCCACCTTTCCTGAGGTCAGGGAGATTGGACTCCTGTTGGAGAGGATCCCTCTTTTGGGGAGACTGCATCTGAGGAGACCCCAAGGTTTCCCAGCCAGGTGCTGAAGCCCCCACACCCTCTGGAGAAGGAGGAGATGATGGAGGGAGACATTTCCTCATTCGTGAAAAGCTGAGCAGGAGCCTGTAGTCCCAGATATTTGGGAGGCTGATGTGGGAAGATGGCTTGACCTAGGAGTTTGAGACCAGCCTGGGCAATATAGCGAGACCCCCATCTCAATCAATCAATCAATCAATCAATTTTTAAGTGGGGATAATAATAGTACCTTCTTCACCAGGGTTTTGTGTGTATGTGTGTGTGTGTGTGTGTGTGTGTGTGTGTGTGTGTGAAGATGCACAGGACTTGGATGTTGTGTTTGATACATTCCAAAGGGCTGTAGGGTGTTTCCTGCTGCTGCATAGGAGTGAGAATCCTGTATGAGTTCAGAGTAGCCCTCTGAGAACTTAGATGAGGCACTTACTATGGATCTCCTGGCTTTGGAGGATGCCCGAAGCCAAGTACTGCAGAGGCCTGCCAGAAAACCCACCCCTACCCTTCCTTCCCAGGTCCAACACAGAAAGGACTCTAGGTACCTATGTGGCCCTGGGAGGAAGTGTCTTTCCTTCACTGACAGCCAACCCTGCCCCAAAAAGCATTCTTTTCCTTTGATGCACCCTGAGATACCTTCCTTGGAACCCCACCAAGCAGTGCTGTGTGGCTGCCTCCCTCCGGAGGAAAATGACGGTGGGGAAAAAGAAGGTCTGGAAGGATATATATTCATAGGTTCATAGTCCAGCTCTAGGGAGCTGGCGGCACAGCTGGGTAGGAAAGAGAGAAAGGTGGTCCCACGTGGATAAAGCATTTCTCTACTGACCAAACTCTCCACACCCTGTTGGATGAGAGGGCAGTGGGTTCTACAGCTGCCCAGAGGAGGGGGCTCTCCTACAGAGCCCTGTCTTCCCAGCTCCAAGGATTCAGTTTGGAGAACTCCAAACCTGGTGCCAAAGGAATGTTTTCTTAGAAAAATCTGTCTCTAGCCATTCCAGTGGGGAGTCCAGTTTGAAGTAGACTTGTTCTTCCTGCAGGACACCTGACTGTGGGCTTCAACCACTCCTGCACAACCTTTCAGCTGATTTTCTGTCTCTCCAAGAAGGCCTGGGCCTGGTCACCCCCTAGTGCCCTCTTCTACTCTTCAGGATTCCTTCTTCCTCTTAACATTGTCCTCTCCCTTCTCCCAATTCTGAGACTGCTACCTTCACTCTGAGCCCTGATGATGAAAGTACAAACATGAATGTGCCTGCCAAGTCGCATACTCAGGGGCAAAGGGTGTGCGGGTATGCTGGGGAATCTGTGAGGACCGGAGAGTTAGGGAATGGAACTGTCTCTCCCCTAACATGAAGTAGCTTAGATGTCGGTGGACAGGTACGGCTCCTAGGTTAGGGACACGTGCATAAATTCTCGGGTGCTTGGATTTTCTGTATTTTTGAATATGTACACCAGTGATTTGACTTGTATACTCACAGATGGGTATAAGAAATGGGTGTACTGCATAATGCTTTTATTCAGGGGTAGCACTATTTATCTTTGGGGGGACTGTGTGTATAAATCACAACCTACACTATGTGTTTGCAGATCCATAAATGAACCTCTCCTTTCATAGAACGATGCTAGTGTGTACGGCTGTGTAGACACCTGTATATTGGTAGATGTGAGTATTTATATTTGAATGGTGTCCCTGTGTAGTTGTGTACATGTGGACACGTGTCCATCAAGGCCATGGGTATTAACGTTTACAGGTAGGTCCTGCACATAGCTTGGAAAATGCAGCCAGGAAGACTGGGCTGTCGTGTTTCCTGTGCCCTCCCAGAAGCCATCAAACTGGACTCATCTCCCACTCCTGGATTTTGTCCCAGTTCATACAAGGCTTCAGCCCCAAGCGGCGCCAGGAAAGGCGGGGCGCCGCACGAGCTAAAGCCCAGATGGCAGATCCCTCCTGCAGCCTCAGGGGCCTGCAGGAGCTGCGGTGTCGCAACCAAGCCTGGGCCCCTGCCGGAAGCGGAAGCCGGCACCGGGGACTGCGAGGCGCAGTCGCGGCGGTCGCTGCGTGCCCTGCCGAGGGCGCCCCGCGGGGGCGTGCGCGGCGCACGCGTGCCGGGCAGGCTGGGCGCCCCGCGGCACCCTCCTAGCCCGGGCGTCTGTTTACCAACAAACTGCCCGCGCTCTGCAGCGGCGCATTCCGACGCTCTGAATAAGCCACCGGCACTGGCTGTCTGTTCTTGACTCCCCTGCAGGTCCACGGCTGCCGGAGCAGCATCGCCGCGCAGAGCCGCGAGAGCGGGAGAGTGCGAACGCAGGTTCCCAGCGTCCCCGCAGCCGCAGTACCACCGCCTACCGCGCAGCTACCCTCGCCCTTTGGGCATCCAGGCCCGCCAACTCCGGAGCATTTCTGCCATTATTACCAAGGTTCCCGGATTGCACCAATCGACCTGCAGCCCCGGCACCCCTCTCGGAAAAGACCCCGAGATAGAGGGGCCTAGAGCGTGTGCACAGTCCCCCTCCCATTTTCCATTTCTCGTTTCTCTACAGCGGACTACCCCAGGGAGGCGGGTCCCGGATCCTGGCCTCCGTGAGGTCACCGCGTGCGGTAGCCAATCTGGGGTGTCTAGGTGGGCGGGGCCCCCGTCAGGTCCCGGGAACCGAACCCGAAGGAGAGGAGGGGGGCCCCATGGATTTAGGGGGGAGGGGAAAGCCATGGGGGGTCCCCCCCCGGAACCCCTTTCCCGGGCACACGCTCTCCGCTGGAAGAGGCGCAGAGAGACATTTTCCCCAGAATCTTAAGTGTGGGGGCGGCTGGCTGGGGGGCTCGTCCGGCCCAAAGCCCGAGGCGAGGGAGAGAGTTGGCGGAGGAAGCGGACTACGTGCCGGGCCATGGCCTAGGCCCTTCGGCCCCGGCCCCGGCCCCGGCCGCAATGACCTCTTTGCCCTGCCCCCTCCCTGGCCGGGACGCCTCCAAAGCTGTCTTCCAAGACCTCGCCCCCGTTCCGTCGGTAGTGGCTGCCTACCCGCTTGGCCTGTCCCCCACAACCGCAGCCTCCCCCGATTTGTCCTATTCCAGGCCGTATGGCCACCTCCTGTCCTATCCCTACACCGGGCCAGCGACCCCCAGGGACTCCTACCTGCCCTGCCAGCAACCCGCGGCACCTTCTCAGCCCCTCTGTGGCCCCGCCGAGCACCCACAGAAACCGGAGGCAGGTAAGTCCGGCCGCGGCGGCTCTTCCCACTTCTGGGGTTCGGCTCCTGTGAGCCCCTAAACCTCGCCCTCGCCTGGCTGGACGCAGCTAACAGGAGTCAAACCTTACTCTGATTCCACGGGATCTGGGGGTGGGGGGAGGGCGAAGGGATGGGGCGGGAGACGCCGGGGGGGAGGGGCGGGGGCGAGTTGATCTAGGTCTCCTTTCAAAACCGACCTGGTTTCGATTTGCAGTTGTGTGAAGCCAGGCGGGAGGGCTCCCCACCCCATCCCCTGGAGCAGCGGGGTGGTGTGTACCTATGTGTAACGGAAAACTGAAGCGATCCAGATGTGGGGGTGGGGGCCTAGCCCCTTCCTCAGGATTCGCCCCATCCTGCACTCTCTTCCTTCCCCTCATAACCCCTTTCCCCATTCCTCTTGTCCCCCGTAAACAGAAATCAAACCCGGGTTGGAGGGCTGTAAATGTCAAGACTTATTCTGGACTCCTTCCTCTCCCTCCCTTGGCCTTACCCCTCTCCTCAGACCATGCCTGACCTTGACTGGAAGCTAGCCTGGCAGAATCTGGGGCTAGGACCCCACCATCCATTGTTCTAAGAATGTAACCGAAAGCTGGTCTGGAAGTCTGTCATCTCTCCCTGGCTACCTCAGCCTCCCAGCCAGCCAAAGGAGCAGGCCATCCCTGTCATCTTCACCCCTTGACTTTGGGGTACTGCTAGGCCCCAGTTCCTGTATTCTGGAGCAACTTTGAGCTCCTGAGAAAGTGCTCATTGGAAGGCTTCCATGAATCTAAGCTAGCCTATCTTCCTGGTCCTGGGCCTTACACCGCTGAGCTGACATACGATGTGGGCATGGGCACTGCCCGTAAACCCATCTGCGCTGGCTCCGCTCAGACGCTAAGGTCTCCTGCACTCTCTGCCCTGATCTAACTGCCCCCACAATTGTCTTTGGCACAGTTTCTTCCAAGGATGCACATCCACTAGGTGACTTTGCTGGAGTCAACCAGGACCAAGACATCTTCCTCCCTTCCTCTGTGGCTCTGACTTATGAGCTCACAAACTATCAGAGCAGAAGTGACCCTAGGATTTTGGAGTTCAGTCTCCTCGATGTACAGATGAGCAAACTGAGGCCTGAAGACAGGGTGTGCATGGGTTAAGGACAAAGCCTGTTTTCCCTGCTCTTGGCTCTTGCAAATAGTCTTTTACGGAATGGGGCCAGGGAAGTGGATTTTAGGGAACTTCCTCAGAATCCCCAAAAGGTAACTGCCATCTGTGGCAGAACTGGGGCTGCCTCTCCCAGGCTGCTGGGTGTGGTTGGAGTAGGAGCAGCTGGGGTGGGGGGCAGCTCTAGTTGCTACAGATGAATCCCTTGGACTTTCCTTCAGTGGATGCTAAGAGGGTATATCTGTGTGTGTGCCTAGGTGCGTTTGGGGAATGGGATGGGAATAACACGACCTTGTCCTTAAGAGAATTGTTGGTCGGCATTGTCAGTCCTGTCTTCCACACCCCCTGCCTTTCCTTTGTTTGGTCTAAGGACAACAGAGTGGAGAGTTCCATTTTCTTTCCCGACTTTCCCTGATCCAACGAAAAACCACACACACAGATGTCCTCAGAATGGATTTCAAGCATTTCTCTACCGGAATTGGCAGGTTCTGCCCACCCTACAGGGGTGATTCGGGTGTGAGAGAGGGCTTGGAGTCCCCCTTTACCCCCACTCTAGGTCCACTCCCGCCCCAGGGAGAGGTTTGGCTCCAAGCGAGCGATGCCGCCAACCCGTAGAGCCGGCGGGTGCGGCCGCGCCTGGAGCGAGGCCCTGGGGCTGGGTTATTGCGACCAGGACAGATTCGGTAGTGACTTGCTGTAACTGGTGTAGAGAAAGGCAGCTGCTGGGAAGGAACTCGCAGGGGGGTCTGCTCGGAGAGTTGGGGCGCGGAGGGCTCTGAGTTCAGCAGCGGGTCTGCCTGCACGGCTCTCTCTGCGTCACCACTCGAATTGCGCCGTCCCCGCAGCCAGAGAGGCGCGGGTGGTCGCTCGGCTGCCTGCCCGGGGCTGCAAGCAGCGGGGTCGAGGCAGGGTAGGCAGGACAGGCGCGGGCGGGAGCGGAAACCCAACGGTTTTTCTGGGAATTGGCTGAGGCAGGGGTCGAGGAGGGAGGATCTGAGAAGCCCGCAGCGCCTGAGGCCACGGGTGAGGGATGCGGGGGAGGTGAAGGCTCTGGTGACCGCGGCTGGCCAAGGACCCTGACGTGTGTGCCCGACTGGGGGAAAAAGGGCGGGAGTACGAGGGCGGACACAAGCCACGTCTGGGCACTCACTGGGGCTGTGCGTTCTCCCTGCTCACGTTGGAGGGACAGACCCGCGTGGAATGCGGCGAACACTGCCCTAAGCCCGCGGGCATTTCGGCTCCTTCATCCACCCTACTCTTCCATCGGCCTGGGACGGTCTCCGGTGTCCCCGTACAGTGACGCAGATTGGTGCTGCTGGCTGGGAAGGACGGAAACCCCTCGCTCCCCACCCCACGCCCGCATTCTAGGGCCGAGCTGTCCCACGGCCGAAATTCCAGGAGAGCGAGGCGGGCAGGAGGTGACCAGATCTCCCGCGGCGGCACCGCAGCGCGATGCAGGAGTGGCCTCGCCGGCCTGCGCTGCGCGCTCTCGGACCCCGGGTCACCTTCCCTACCACGCCAGAACCCCTCTGTGGGTGCGGCAGAGTGGTGGAAGAGGCTGCTCCACGCCGACCCGGTTCCTGAGGTCCTTGAAAACCCAGCTGGCCATGGGGGAGGGGAGAGATGGTCACTTTTCCCGTAGGGCACGCCCCAGGAGAGGCGATGGCAAACCCTGGAGGTCACTTTCCACGCCGCGATGCTGGCATTCACGGCACGCTCAGCCGGGCCTCTGACCCACCCCTCTTGCGGCAGCTAGAGGTTGCCACGCGGACACCATCTCCAGCCTCTGAGCATTGCTTTTGAGTCCCCTCCGCCCGGAATGCCCTTCCTCTGTCATCTCCAGGCCTCGGCTCAGCCCTCGACCGAGGCTCTCTGCCCCGCCCTACCCCTGGCTGGCGCCGCCGCAGCGGCTGAACTCCGACCTCCCACCGCAGGCGCCGCGGTCCCCACGCTCTGGCCCTTGGCGCTTTCTTCCTAGGGTCACAGGACCCGTAAGAGTGGGAGCCCCCTGAGAGCAGAACTGCGTCGTGTATCACCTGGCGCACAGCGAGCGTGGCTGGGGTTGCAAAGAACTTGACGAAGGCAGAGAAGGGCCGAGGGCCGAGGGGGCGAGCCCGGTGGCTGCGTTTTTTGCCAATCCGCGGGCGGCATGCAGACGAGATGCGAATGAGCCCGTCCTACCCTCTCACTCTCCTCCCACCTCCCACCGTCTTGTTCTGCCCCCAGACTCTGAGAAGCCGCTGTTGTCCCGGGAGCCCTCGGAGGGGCTCCCGCAGGCCCCGGCCAAGAAGCTGCGCAAGCCGAGGACCATCTACTCGAGCCTGCAGCTGCAGCACCTGAACCAGCGCTTCCAGCACACGCAGTACCTGGCGCTGCCCGAGAGGGCCCAGCTGGCAGCGCAGCTCGGCCTCACCCAGACCCAGGTGGGGCCAGTCCCATCCTTCCCGCGCTCTGACCTTCCCCAGTGTGTTCTCTGGGAACTCACCCCCCAAGGTGTGAGTGACCGATGGGTTTACCTGGCCTTGTCCTCACAGTTCTCCAGGGAGAGTTCATAGCTGGCCTCGGTACTGGGGGCATGTGTGTTGAAAGGCGAGTATGGGCAGGGGTGGGGTAGAGGAGGGTACATCAGAGGGAGAACTGGATACTAGCTGAGAGGCAGGAACTTAGGGGACTTCTGAGGCAATGGAGCAAATGTCCCCAGCCTCTGCTCAACTCCCAGGACTGCTCCCTGCAGCTGGGTCCCTTTCCCTTTCTGGAACCTTTCCACACATACACTCTTCCTGATCTTCCGTTCTTCCCCTTTTCTTCCCAAAGGTAAAGATTTGGTTTCAGAACAAACGCTCTAAATACAAGAAGCTCCTGAAGCAGAACTCTGGGGGACAGGAAGGGGACTTCCCTGGGAGGACCCCTTCTGTGTCTCCCTGCTCCCCGCCCCTTCCATCCATCTGGGATTTACCCAAGGTGGGGGCCCTGCCCACCAGTGGCTATGGCAACAGCTTTGGAGCCTGGTATCAGCATCACTCCCCAGATGTGCTGGCTCCGCCTCAGATGATGTGAGTCCCGGCAGGGGCAGGTCAGCCCCAGCCCTCCTGCAAAGCCCAGGACCCAGCCCACCTGCACCTCTTCTGGGCTGGGAGAAAAGCAGCTCCAGATGGATATTCTCTGGAGGACAAGGAGCTGGAAAAGGAAAAGGGATGGGGTGGAGTCCTGCACCCCCAACCCAAAGAGCTAAATCAAGGACCTCAGCCTTAACCACCGCCTCCCACCACTACCATGGACTGGACACCTTCCCTCCAGCTGGACAAAGGCTCTGGAGTGAGCCATCGACTGGAGTTGAGACTGCCCCCAGGGTCCTTAGTCTTGCCACTCCCCTCTCCCTCCCTCTCCTCTTCCTTCTCCTTCTCCCCTCCCCCCCACCCCTTTGAAAGGACTACAGCTCCACTACAGCCTGAAGTCAAAACCAGCAAGAGTATTTTTTTTTTCTCTTTGTGTGTTTTGGGCTTTGCCCAACCCATTTGTGAGCAAAAGCAGAAGTGGACATCCAGAGTGGATCCCCCCACCCCCTGATTTTCCTGGAGGTCAGCCCGTTACCCCCATAACTAATATGCCCACTCACCATCCTGTGAGGTAGAAGGGATGCGGAGAAATATGGAGTTTGTGGGCCTGTGGGTAATTTGTGCTCTCCTCCCAAACAAGCCCCTGTCTCCCCATGTCTATGCAGTGTGAGTAGACAGTGGCTCCAACTATCCATAGAATTCAACAGGTATTTATTAAGAGGATGCCCCTCCCCTTCTCCCACCCCTAGTACCTAACAAACCCATGTGCACACACTCTCGGAAACCCAGTTGGGTGACCCTTTGGGGGAAATGGGAGACAAACAAGCTCTCTGGATGGGTGCAGGTGTAGACATCCACAAATAGGTGGGGCAGGCCTGGCAACTCAGGTCCTCACAGCTGTCTGCATCCAAAGGCACTGCTCAGGTTTATAACCTGTCTGACTAGCAGCCAAGCTCTTACCATCCTTCGCACCATGCGCTTCCAGAGATTAAAGTTTGTATAATACAAAAACCAAAAACGGGGGTCCTGGCTTCCAGGTGTGTTTGTTCCCTGACTTTTCTGGAATAGGGGCTGGTTGCCCATTTTGTCTCTCCCATCCGACTAGGCTGCCATTGAACTAGGAGTCAGAGGCTCTGGATTCTCACCAGCTCTGTGGTTCTAGCTCTGGAGTGTTCTGATAACATCCATAGTTTCATATGCTCCAGTGTGAATCCAGAAGGTGCTCACGCTGGGAATGACCAAGGTCTGAGTGATCCTCACCGGCAAATTCTCTCCTGGCCCAGTTCTGGAGGGAGCCAGGTACCTCAGAGCCCCTGTGCCCCACCTTTAGCCCTGGGAGAGCCCCTGCACACCTCGGGAGAGGACTCGCCCACTGAGCCAGCCCCGTCCTGCTGGGAGAAGTATGCTGCTTGGGGATGGCATGGCCTCAGCTCATCATGGGAAGGAGGAGGGGGAGGAGATGGAAAACACCAGAAGGAACAGGAACTTTGTTTTTCATCCAACAAACATTCTCTGCTCTGCCTTAGATCCTGGGGATACCAAGATGACAGAGGCAGATGCTTCAGGCTAACAGGGAGCCGGACAAATTGACCAGACACTTTTGAGTCAAGTGCCGGGCCAAGGGACCCCAATCTAGCCTGGGCCAAGGGGGTCAGTGCCAGGTGAGAAGGGTAGGCAGCCAGGGAGCAGCAGGGCCCAGCGGCAGATTCATGGCCACAGCACCTCACCTCAGGCCCAGCGCCCCGCCCCCGAGGGATCGGGAGAGCCATGGGGGTGGGGGGAGCTGAGGACAGGGGGTGGAATAATGCAGGGAATCCTCCCCAGCCAGGCCTGAGGGGCTGGGGGAGGGGCCTCCAATTCCAGGCAAAAAAAGTTCCCAAGCCCAGCTTCCCTCTTACTGCCTAAACCTGTTCCCAGGTGCTGCAAACTCAGGGCCTGCCCCAGTGTGAAAAATCCCACTCGGGCACTTCCAGCAAACTCCAGCAGGCCAGACAGTTGCCCAAATTTGGGTCATATGTAGGGCAGAGGGGAAGCCCCCCACCTCCAGATCCTGCAATCAGTCCCTCGGCCCCTGTTCCTCCGTGGGTCTGGGTCATAGCCACCCCTATGCCCGAAACACACATGGAGAATTCTCTTGGGGATGGCAGATGGCACAGGTGGGCCAAAGTCACGATCTGGGAGCAGTAAGGAATGGGAGAACAAACATCTCCTCTTCCCTCCAGCACCTTCCCCTGCCCCCAGGTCCCGGTCTCCACCAGCTCTTTGTGGCCCTAGTCCCAGATCCCTCCTCCGGGTCTCCTCTGAGGCCACAGGCCCTCAGGGCAGCTGTTCCCTCCCACTGCAGGTTGCACACTCCTCTTTCTACAGACCTGAGATAAGATCTACCGCCCCATCTCGGAAAGCCTCCAAAGGCGAGATTAATTGGACAGCCCGACACAGTGCATCGTTAAAACAACAGCCCAGGTTGTAAAGTTAAGTAGCAGGAGGAGTGTAATTACTCTCTCCGCCAGAGGCCAGCGGAGCTGACAGCATCCCCCTCTTCCTTACCCCTGTTTGCCCTTTTCAGGGGAAACGGGGATCTCTCTTCCACTTGGGAGCTGGTCCGCTTTCCCTGGGCTCTGGGTGGTGATGGGCTTGGAGCCCCAGTGGAGGAGGTGCCACAGTCCCTTCCTTCCAGCGGTTTCCTCCCATGAGGAGCTGCTGCGCTGGGAAAGTTAGCTCAGTTAGGGGGGGGAACAAGACTGAGTGGTTAAGAAAAGGGGCTTTGGCCTCCAAAGGGTCCCAACTCTGCCACCTGCTAGTTGTGTGACTTTCGGCAAGTTACTTAACCTCTCTCTCAGCCTCCCCCCAAGACAGGAATACTAATACGACTTGCTTCCTGGTACAGTTGTGATGACAAAATGAGATAGTGCTTGTAACATGCTTGACACGGTGCCTGGAACACAGTAAGCACTTAATGAACGGCATTTACAGCTGCTGTGTGATTATGGGCAAGGGGAGGGGTTAGGGTGAGGGCAGTTCACGCTGCCATCCATTCACCTCCTGCCTTTGGCAGACCTGAGGCTCAGCACATCCCGGGTCCCCACCATCTGAGAGCAGGACACAGGCAGGGTCCCAGATGCAAAAGGCCCGGTAGCACATTGTATCTGAAATCAGCCGAAAGTGGGAAATGGGAAGATGTGTCCGGAGAATGTCCAGGGCACATGTTGTCACCCACAAGGGTCTCAGCCAAGGAGAGCTGACGTGGGGCTTCGCCTCCCTTCTGGGTCGCTCTCCTTCCCTCTCCACCTATGCTATTTTAAGACACGTCCCTCATGCTTCCCCCAACAAAATGAGATCAATTAATTCAATTAAAGCAATTCTGGGAGCAGCTCCTGAAGGCTTTCAATGTGAGATAATTACAAGTAATTTGCTGTTGTGAGGGGGAAAAGGGCACACGGGGTCTGGGGAGAAACGAGGTGGCCCCTTCCTCACCAAACGCACGCAGATCTAGAGGGATTCCACGCTGCAATCTTAACTGCCCTCCCATTGGCCAAATTACTTGCAGGTGGGAAGAGGGAGTATGTGGTGGTGGGAGCAGGGGTGGAAAGACACCCAGTGACAGACCGCCCCTCCTCCACCCCCAAATCCGAGGAGGTGGGGGTGGGGAGCTGGTTGTTCCCCGACAAAATGTCTGCATAGCCATAGCAGCCGATTACTCAGCTCCCAACCTCATTTGAGTCTGGATGTCTGGACTTGCCTCTGGGATTGTATCCAGAGAGTCGATGGAATGTTATCCGGGTAGCTGAGGCCTGTGTAGATGGGGGCCTTGGAGATCAAGGACCTCCCTAGAATTTATAAGGGATATGGGTAGAAAGTGGAAAGCTAGAGAAGGGGGACAATGACTTCCTGCTCCCAAGTTGCTGATGAGACACCCATTTTTCTCCTCCCCTGCCAAATGCCTTCTAGTTTCTTCCTGGTGCCTAATCTCCATGCCTTCCACTGTAGTGGCAGCAAATCTCCTCTCTGCTTTCTGTCATCAGGGCCACTGAAGCCTCTTCCTCCCAGAAAGCATCCTACAGGTGTTTCCCACCCCTGCCCCCACTTTCCCTGGGATAACCCTTCCCTTCCCAGGGCTCATTTGGCCTGATGGAGGCCAGCTTGACGGAGCTGAGAGGGAACAGAGGAGAGGTGAGAGTTGGGAGGTAGGGGCCAAAGCAAAGGTGTGGGGATGGGCTTCAGGCCTCTGCAAAGACCCTTGCAACCTTTCCCAAGGGGCTAGGGTCCCCCTTGTCCTGGAAGCCCCTTCAGGTGGTGAGTAATGTTTTAACAATAATATTTGAAAAAAAAAAGTCGCTGACCCCAAAGTGTTTCTCTTTCATATCTACCCCTCTCATCCCAAGGAGGGGTTCCTTTCAGCTTTAGTTTCTAGCCCTTTCTCTGAGCAGCATGGCCGTTGGACCTAGGGAGCCAGGGAGAAATTCCATCAGGGAGTCCTTGGTTGACTGCTGTCTCTCCTCTTCCAAGATGAGACAGCTCAGAGAGGGACAGGTGGCCTCCTCTGTTTGCCTCCCCTTCCCCCTTTTCTGGCCTGCACAGATGGGTTAAAACAAGGGAATAAAAGACCCTTGTACCCCAAACCTCAAAATTCAGAAGTCCCAGACGAATACTCAGAGACAAGCAGACACAGGGACCCGTGCACACACTTTTCCAAGAAGACATCGCGCGCATAGGCAGGCAGGCAGGCACACACAACGGGATACACAGAGCGGGCAGAGCTGCACACAGAGACACACGTGTGTATGCGCATGAAACACGTCCATGGCTGTACACGGATATGCACAGAGAAGTGCACTCGAAGCTTACATACTCACAGAGACAAGCACAACACAGAGGGATGAGCGGGGAAGGAGATGCCAGGAACTTAAACACGGGCAGAAACAGACGGAAATATACAGACCAGCTTCCCTGTGTGTGAGCACACGTGTGCATGGAGTGGGAGGGGACAGGTCTTTTCTTCCTTCTCTCTGGTCTCCTGCCCTGTTCTGTTTCCCTCCCCTTTTCCTGGCTCTCCATCTCCTATTTTCTGGGAATGCTTCCCTTGTGAGCAGTTGGGGAGGGAGGCTGAACAGCCACAGAAACCCAATAATTTTATTATGACTTTATTTTCTTTGTTCCCTGAAGCCTTGCCTGCTTCTCTTCCTGAGCTCTAGCAAGAAGAGCTCCTGTCCCCAGCCCTTCCTGGCACAATCCATGGCTCCCAGATGTGGCCGTTGAGTCTGACTCTGCCACAGGAACTCAGGCTAGTTAAGCGGGGCTTAAGCACCTTTTCCCTTGGATATCTCCACTAACCCCTCTGCTCCCCTGCCCTGACAGTGACTCCAGCCCCAGGGAGGGAGGAAGGGGCCTGGGATCACAGAGTGATGAGGAACTCTGGGAGCCAAAGATCCAATCTGATACTACTTGCTGTGTGACCTTGGGCAAGTTACATAACCTCTCTGAAACTCAGATAACTTCTCTTGCTAAATCCTGTGTGTATGTGTCTGGCGGGGAGTGGGGTGCTAAACACGTGTGTGCGCCCACTTTCCACGCTAGTCTGGGGCTTTATAAGGCAAACCTTGTCTCTCCCATCAGATCAAAGGCTCCCGGAGTA